TATATATATATATATCCACGAACACTTGACATATTTATATCACAGACATAAAATGTGCAGGCACAATAAAAATCTCGAAAAATATTTAAAAATTTCCAAATTCTCGTCACTCGCAATTAAATTATCAAACAATAAGAAAAACTTAGCAAAAATAAATTACGTCTCTTGTTTTACTTTTTTACTTTTACATTGATTTTGCATTTTTCCAAAGTGAACTTACTCATTTCTCATTCCTCGGCCTATTTACCTTTACTGTAACAGTCGTGGTCGCGCGCAAAATAAATTAAATTAATAGCAGTACGCTCTAATAAAAAATACGGTAGCTTTTATAGCTTAAATAAAAGATTTTATGTTTTTGTTAAGTTATCAAATTAATTGTTGAATTTAAATCCGAAAAAGTTATAATACTTTAGGTCATGTTTTTGATCGATTACTTTAATGACTTTGTTTCAAACAAGTTCAAGTATGAGAATTAATATGGGATGCCATTAAATTTTATGTGCGAAATTGAGTTATTGGGGACTAGATGTTTAATTGGGCTTATGAACTCAAAATAATCAAGTTTCCCTCTAAAAATCTCAACTTGATTGTGCGACAATAACAACGATCTCTAAAAATGTGGAACAAATTATTTCCATATTACAAATTAGTTAACTTAAAGCTAATAATTTCCAACCTATTTTTTAAGTTAAAATAAACATTTAAATACCGAAATTTTTTTTCCATCATCAAACATCCCAAAATATTCTTAAATTTAATCAGCGGTATATCATTCAACATAATATTTACATTTGTACAAAGTTATTAGATACAGTTATAATCAGATTATTTTCTTCGTTTTATAAAAATGAATCACTTTATTCTTTAAAGGGCACGAAATTTAAAATCAACAAAAAGTGTAATCACGCATAAAAATAGCGATGGCACTTGATTGTTAAATCAAATTATTTTTAATAACCTTAAATATTTGGAAAAAGTTATCAATATCAATTAATTTTTTTAATTAACACAACAAAGTTATATATAAATAAAAAAATTTAATCTTTGACAATGAAAATATACATATTTATGAATTTAAAATATTTTAAAATAATATTATAGACAGCAATTAGCTAAAATTAACGGATACTATAAATTTGCTTTATCATCACTTGGCATGATACCTAAATATATCTGAAGACTATGACATTATTTTAACAATCATTGGATATGATCCATTTGGTGTTTCAGGCCTTTTAATAAATAACGATTCAAATCTAAAAGCAGAGAAGAAAAATATATGCCCCAATGCAGACTGAGCTTCGTAAACGTATGATTAATTTTCATAAACACATCGCGTTAAGAAGATCCGAATAAATAATTAAAGAGAAAACAAAACATTAAAATAGATGAAAAGGCTAATAAAATCAACGATCCGCAAAATATGAACTATCTACTATACATCCATTATCTATTACGCCCGCGCACATTTGAATCATACGTGATGTGTGTGTGAGTGTGTGTTCACTGAGAACAGTGAGGATACTGGGGATAGTCCGTAGGAAGAACTAGTATCACGCGGGTAGCACCCTGTAAAAATATACTTTTTCTTTTCTACGTGGCCCTGCGCACTATCACGTAAGCTTTTTCGTTTCCACTTGAAAAAATTGTAATTTAATATTTTCTGTTTTATAAACAAAATTTTGTTTTTGGATTAATTATCGTATGGTTTTTAAAATTGCCTAAATCGAATAAAGCATCAGAGAATGAAAAATCAAGCATCATGACGGTACCAAATGATCATGATCACTATAGATTAGACCATCAAGATGACTGAAATATGAAAACGAAAAAGACAACACAATGGTGATCTGACCAAAGTTCTTATTTTCATTAATTTTAATGATTAGTTTTTCGGAAAAAGCCACATTAAGGGAAGGCAAAAAAAATGTCTTTTTAAAACACACATAGCCTTTTTTTTTATTTGCATTGGGTATAATTGTGTGACAGGTGTTTCTTTTTTTATACTAATAGCTTACTGTTTGAAGGACAAGTGTGTCTCATCTTTGGTAACTGCGTAGTCTCTTATGTTTGAGTCATTGACAAATTAATGGTTTATGACTCTTTTCCAATAAAAAATCCTAAACCAATAATTTATTCACTTTGCGATTAAAATATGATTAAATTTACTTTATAATATTGTACATCTCTTTTCGTACGGTGTACAATTAATTTCTATTTTTTTTTTTTTGATGCAGGAAATCGTGAAAACTGCAATACGTCAATAAAAGAAAAATAAATTTACTGATGAGACAGGCTTAGCATTCGTACGTTTTTGTCTTTTATGTGTGCATATATAGCGTGTTTTATAAACTGTTTGTAAACCTTATTTTTACATATATTGTGTGTATTTTTTTCTTAAATATGCTATAAACGTTCCTAATGAATAATTATTAATTAATAATTTGTATCTCTATACAATATCTACAAGAAAAAGTCTAATAAAGATCTGTTAATATTATTTAAACTCTCTATAAGTATCAATATTTTAAATATGATCGCTATAACGTTTTACTAAAAGTCTGCTGAAATTATGTCTTTCTCTCCTAACATCGTGGACTTATATCGCTTCGAATTCAATCAGTAGTTTATCAGCAGCAACTGCGATCAAACTTAGTCCTCGATTCTTCAGCATAATTATATACATACATATATATTTTCATTTCATACCTTCGTAAATTTATACATATAAACTTATAGAATTTCTTTATCGTTATTCATTATTGCTTAACGTTTCGTAGCTTTTCGAATATTTTTGGCTTTTCGCGAGTGTCAAACTCTATGCAATATTCATCGTGTATTTATATGTATATATTTATTATTTATATGTATCGATTCATTACTTAAAAAAAATAATATACAAGAATATCCGCTCACTTTTTGTAACGTACATCCAATAGTACGAAAAAGAAAACACTTGACGGTATATATCTAAGGTATACTTTCTTTAATATGTACGTTGGCCAGAAAATCACGTTGAAAATAAAAAGGTTTTAAATAATCGTTGAAAAAATGAATTTATACTGTCATTGTGTAGAATCCCATTTTTTTTTCGAGTAATTATCTTATAAACGTATGTATAAAAATTTATGCCTTAATTTTTTATGTTCACTTCAAATTGTATAAAAATAAGAAAAATTTTTTATTCCATAAATATAAAAAATATTTTCCTAAACATTTAGATATGATAGTTTTTTTTATAACGGTTACTTGCAAAGTATAACTATTATTTTTTACCTATTGACGATTTTTTTTTTTTTTTAAATCTAAAAAAAGACGATTGCCTCTTAATTTCCAACGAAACTTCCTAACCAGGACTTTTTGGATATTCTTATGCACCACACTTTCATTTTTGCTTCGTAACCCCTAGCCCTTAATTTGTTTGGAATACCTGCCATTTTCGGTCCACGTGTTCTTCCAGAAGCGTTTGCGCCTCTTGGTTGACCCATCCCCGCTTGAGCCAGACGAGCGTCGTTTGGGAGGCCGAATTTCTAGGGGATCACTGCCCGGCAGGTAGCAAGGTGCGTTTTTGTTGGTGCCGTACAAGTGCATGTAATCAGGATGGATACCTTCAACTTCCTCGACACGCTGTTTCACCTCGGTTTCGTCCAGAGCCAGCGGATCTCGGAGTGGTGTTGTCGTTACACCCGCGAGATTTAGCAGCGCATCCGCACCAAGTTGACGCTGTTCGTCGATGTCGTTAGTCACTTCTCTTCTGCAGCAAAATTAAAATAAAAAATATTAGTTCTGATGGCATAAATTAAAGGTAAAACGTAAAAGATGAATCTTAAAAGTGTTTTAACGTTACTTACCTTTCGAGTCGTACTGAAGTGATTAAACTATAGGTATGATCCTCATTAGAATTCCTCGTAATAACTGGGGTCTTTTTCTCTATACTTTGTTTTCTCTTGGGAGGGATTTCAACTCGCTCAACTAGAAAATAATTAAAATAAAATCTCATTGGTCGTTTGCAATGATATATTATATGCCGATTCACAGCATTATGTCTGTCAAAACTTACCTGGAGGGGGAGGAGAATTTTTGTTGTGATTGATTATTATAGGTCCGTGCTTGAAAGAAAGCATCGTGGCAGCTGCAGCGTCAACGTCACTGTCAAATTCCGTAATTTCAGAGTTACTTTCACACACGCTACTTGAAGCAAGCCTCTTTGACAAATAAGGAAATAGCACTGGATCGGGCAATCGATTGCTTGGTACAACAGGCCTGTGATTGGTGTTACTGTTGTTGTTGTTGTTGTTGTTGCTGTTATTACTAATATTGCTGCTACTGTTATTGATGTTGTTGTTGATATTGTTGTTGATGATGATGTTGTTGTTATTGTTGTTGTTGTTAACGTTGTTGCGTACTACCTTATCCGGTAAATTCATGTTCATCACCGAAGGCGGTGGACAGGGGGTGCGCGATAGCGCCTGCAACAGGTTCGGTCGATACTGTGCGTCCACCATCCATAGCGAACCTTTGCCCAGATGCTGAAATGAAAATTCGCAACCAAATGAACGATTCAATTTATTGAAATACCGAGAACCAATATAGTGCTACTAATAATTTTTGTGTAATTATTGCTGCTTGTAGTGTGATGCTAGTTGCATAGTTGTATGAAAAAAGGCAAAATCATTACGTTCACATATCCAGTAGATGAGACTAGAGTAAAAGATAATGAACAACAACAACAGCGGGTACAGAGTAATGATGATGGTGGTAGGAGAGTAGAGTGAAGTGAAAGAAAATAAAAAGCGAAGAAATAAGCAACATACACAAACGATTTGGTCTGGAGTAACACTCACTGGTGATTTTTCGACCTTGCGAAAACATTTGTTCAAGCTAAGATTATGCCTGACGGAGTTTTTCCAGCCAGTAGGGGCGTTCCTGAAGTACGGGAAGTGAGCGAGTATCCAGGCGTAGATCTCCTTGACGGGGAGGGCCTTGACCGGGCTGTCCTCGATCGCCATGAATATCAGACTGGAGAAGGAGTATGGTGGCTTGCAGTTCTTGTGGAGCTGCGGATCGTACGAAAAATGACTCGGGTGCTTGCTCCGGCTTTGGTGCACCGGCAGGTTGTAATTGGCGCTGTTGCTGTTGTTATTGTTGTTGTTATTACTACTGCCATTGGCAAACTTTGCCTGGTGACTCGGACTGGCCTGTATCACTCCGTTGTGGCAACTAGCGTCGTTGCTCTTCTGCAACAGCTGCAGCTGCGGCGACGACGTTGACGACGACGACGACGACGACGAAGACATTGGGGACGTTGGCGAGGACACACCGTTTATCACAACCTCGTCGTAGTTGAGAATAGTCGTCGAGTCCACGCTACTGTTTCTACCGTTGCTCTCTGTCAATTGAAGATAAACACAATAGATTAACATATATGTCACTATTGGGTGGGGAAAAAAGTGAATTACCGTGCGAAAAGCTGTCGTCGAGACTCGACACCGAGTTCGTGTTCTCGGACGTGTCGAAGCTGTCCTCCACCTTGACGACCACCTCGCCTTTCGAAATTTTCGCCGCCATCGCCGGCCGGTCGCTTATCTCGAGGCCCTTCAGAAGGTTCTGCTGGTGCAGCCAACTCAGAGATGTCAGCTCGTCGTCAGACTGGCCGATGACGACGCTCGTACCACCACCCCCATTATTGGCCTTCTCCTCGGCGAGCCTGACCATCGGCGCCACCGCCGACTCCTCCAGTTGCTGCTGCTGCAGCCCGATGACGACCTCGTTGCTGCTCAGGGCCATCGTCTCCTCGACAAACCGAGGCTGGGGAGCTTCGGCCTCCTTCACGGCGAAGGCCTCGCAGAAGCCAAAAACCCGCGCTACCGTGCAAGGACCTCCCCCGACGACGAGGTCACGCCCGTCGTCCACGACCGCTGCGTCCGGCCTGTCGGGTGCCATGTCGCCCTGCTGCTCCTTTGCGCTCCGCAGCTGATCCAAGTGTGCTGCTTCGGTCACTGGAACATTGTACACAATCGATCGCGGCTTTTTATTACAAGTGTACAAACTCATAGTACCTACATGAGTAACTGCATCCGCGGAAAGTTATGCATTAAATATCACAAATGCCTAGCTTGTGAAACATTACAATGTTTGTATGAAAGAGCGGCATCGTTTTAATCGATTTGAGGCTCTAAGCTTAAATGTTTATGTCATGCATCGTTGAATCGGTCGAGAAAGTAACGCACGACGATGCCCTTTGTTAAATTCACGAGCTTACGTTTGAATGCTTGACCAATAAGTACGAGAAAAAAGCTCAATGTGGACCAATGGGAGAATCGTCGCAGTTATGCACCTAACCTCAACCCACACTTTGCGAATGCTGTATATGTATGTATATGAATGCGTTCGCATGGTGTGTATATACAAAGCGCAACAGTTTAATTTGAAGCCCCTCTCTGTCCTGATGCAGCTTTCGCTGCTCTATAAATATGGTATGCGACCGGCAGCGGCCGATCCCGACTCGCGTCAAAGTAAAAGGAAAGACGCGCTCGCGGCGTCTCCTTTCCGAAAATAGTATCCAAGCCGCGCACCACCTCCTCCCTCTCTCTTTTTCTGCGAAAGGAATGAAACGCTGACTTGAGCGCCCTGACAAATTCATTGCTCCTCGGACGCCTTCGCTCGCGACCCTCCATCAAGTATTTTTCGTTGGGGCCTCCGCGAAATGATGGCTTTTTTTACTTTCCACCCCGTAAATGTAACGCTTTTTGCATTCTAGTTTATCTACCAGCGAAAGTTAAGCAGTAAGCCGGAGCGATAAGTGACTCCGCCACCAAGTCGGTCCAAGAGATAAGCAACAGCGAATTTCGCGAGCCCGTCGATATCTCTCGCAATTACTGTGTAACTTCCACGAGGAGGGAGAGCTTTTGAAAGGGCGAGGAGATGAAAAACAGGGAAGGTGGATTATTATTGGGTGACGCTAGGTTGGATCGAGTGGAGGAGAAAAATCCTTATCCGCGTGTGACGATGGTTTACCGATGATTTACCGAAGCTCATTTTTTGTATTTCCTGTATAGGTACTTATGCAATGGAGTTGCGCTTCAACGAATCCAACCTACCTTTTGCTCGACAAGTTTTAATGTGCTTATTTATTCGTATAAGCACTGTCCATAGCTAACACAAAACATAATATTATTCGTTTTATCTTTTGGCCAATTTTTTCTCAGATCGGTATTACCGATTTTTTCATTTACTCGACACTTGGTATCGTGCAGGTGCTCTGTACACTGAGCAAGCCTTGTATTTGCACTGCCGCTGGCGAGAAATATTTGTAGGGTGACGCGTATACGTGTATACTTCAATTTGTTTGACTTTGCGAAGCGTCGGTGATAAATGATTTATTTTTTATAAAAAATAAATATAAAAACAACATTTATACAGGTATATGAAGTACGAAATGATGTGGAATTTATGTAAAATGAATACATACGCGTAGAGATGTGTGTATTAAGAGTTATCGATAAATATTATGGCACACCTCGTTAAAATTGAAGTATGCACGTCTTTGGATGTGCCCTACTTTGCATGGCGAGCGCTTACATAATCTTCTACAGTCATGATGAGATTGAACGAAAATTGAGTACTTCTGAGAGTTCATTTTTTTCAACTTTCCCCTTTTTTTTTCCATACACAAATAAGTGTTCTCTTCCGTAATTTATTTTTTACACATTTCTTTTAAGTCTAAAAAAATTAACAAATAATTATGTGTTCTGCATTAAAACAACCAATTCTCATCAATTAAAAAAAAAAAACTTTTTACCATAAAGGAAATTTAACAAATGTAATATATTATTATATTGTAAATTTAAGCGCAAAAATTATAGAGCGGGAGTAAGCTCGCAATCGACAACCATCGGCATTATCATGGTAAACAAAACGCCATTCGATTAAGTAGGAGAGTGCGAACGAAAGCGAAGAGATGGCAAAACATTGATGCGTCGATTCTTGTCACTCGGCCAATTTCAAAGAGGTAGAGAGAGAAGGAAATTTATAATCCACGCGGACAAGTTGCTACCGAACTATATCAGTGAAGACGCGCTCAGGCGACGGCCATAACATATAAAGCTAGACGCGTCTTCGGAAGCGTATGTATACATATAGGGACTGGTATGCAGGTTCGCGAGTATCAGTATAAGTATGTATAAGTAATATGTTGGGTTCGCACATAGTTACAAGATGCTGTTGCCAAGCAACGTATAAGTAAGTACCCGTTTCCCCGGCAACTTCATTGTTGCCTTACGCTCGCGTTTTCGCAGCAAATATTATAACAATAAACTCTTTTTACCCAAACTTTGTACCCACTTTTTGACATCATATCGTAATTTTTCGTGCCCCCATTAACTACTCGCACGAAGTTTTTTGCTAGAATCACCATACTTTCTATAAACGTACCGTATTATTAATTTAGTTGGGCCGGCACTTTGATCCAGATATTTTAAATCAATATTCTAACGTACAATTCACGCTGTTATTGTACGCATATAATTTTATTGATCCAACTCTGTACTACTGAAAGAGATACGGAACAAAGTTTTCAATTACCGATTTTTTTGACCATTTCGATTTTTATTCCTATGCTTAGTTACGTCAAACGGTACACCGCCGTTGTGATTTTGACTGTCATAGACGATAGTCATAGAAACGACGCCAAACCTCTATCCATATGTAACACACACGCACATCTTTACTTTTGTACAGGGCTGTTGTAAGTAAAAATGTAAACACGAAAAGATGACGATTTATCTTTTGTTTATACAAGACCAAACATCATTAGGTAGTATTTTGCTGTGATATAGTGTTCAAGTATAATGTGCGTTCGTCACGGAAAATAAAAATGTAACTCATATGGATCAGCCAAGCACGAAATGACATAAAATTGCCTTTATGTTTGGTTTACGGTTTACGTAAAAAATAACAAAACGTTTTGTTGTTACATGCCAAAAGTTTCAATATGGCAGCTCTATACGAAAACTTTGAAAACATAACCTTCTCTCACACGCGTATTACGTAAAGTATATTATTATACGCTAGACACGCGAGCAGAAAATTTTCGCGAGAATCGATATCGTATTGATTGTTTCAATTTCTTTGCACGCCATGTGTCACAACAACAGCATTTTCTATTCATGCACTAAAATGAAAAATATACACGTATTTATCAAAACATAATCGACTATTTCGAAAAATTATCAATTCAAACTTTCCTGCACCGATTTGTACTATACTCGTGTAATTATTATCGTAGTTTAAACCCTTTTATTATTTTCGAAGAAGAAGCGTCTCCTCAAGAGACCTTTTCAATTGAATCGATGACGCTGTCATAATAGGCACAGAAAACACGACGCACTTACTTTTCCCTTACGAATCGATTCGAAAATATTTCGGGTGCAAATCACACATCTTACAACACTGATAGAAAAAATTTCATTTCCACCTATTATGGAAAAAACTGTCTGCCTTGGCTTCAAATGGTCACACGAAGTTTACTCCGAAAGCTTCTGCTCGAAAATGAAAACATGTTTCAACGCACCAAAGTAACAAGGATCCACGTGACTCGAAAATTCCCCCAAGTTCAAAGAGCATTGGAAATCGCGTCGATCGAAGCTTGCAGCAGAGCTTTCCCTGTAAATTTGCGCGTCTCGAAAATTTTACGACCGAGTACTCGCGCAAAATGCAACTTGTGCTCGAAAATCTTACGACGCCGTCACGTCATTCGGCTGAGCGTCTTGTTGTTTATCCGGTGCTCCCTATATATAGTTATCATTCCACACCAAAAAAGCGACAAAATGGCGCTACCCATCGACGTCGTCGCTTCGCCTCCGATACCCACGCATATGAAGTAATGCACATGTAAATAGTGCCTGACAAATGCACCCAGCTAACCGTAGATGCTCGTTTTCCCGTTGAAATTCAAGTTTTCCACGCACCAACATCAATCACCCACGACACATATCAACACTTGCTTGTTTTCTTCGCTTTTCAACGGTAACGACAATAATGGGCAATAATAATAATAATAATAATAATAATAATAATAATAATAATAATAATATATATCAACGTCAATCACCGATCTAGTGATGGACCTCCCGAAATAGCGACAAGCCAGCTTGGGTAAAAAAAACCTTTGAACGATGGTTTTCACTTTTCGCTAACAAAAATGTATAAGTACTGCATAAGTAAGTATACACAAAAAACTATGCGTTATACGGGAGTAGCAGCATTTGCCCTAACCTTAAAGAGAGCACCACACCAAACGCAGCATGCACGCCGACGCTCACCCTTAATTTTCGAGGCACGTCTTACTTATTGTAAGTACACGACTGCAAGCACTGAGTATGGTGCAAGAAATGATGCAGTTTCACTGGGAGCTTTCAAGCTCGGTAAACACTGTCGCACGTGAAAAATGCAGTTGCAATCGGAGGAAAGGCATCCCGAACCAAACTTCGAATAAGGTATATTTATCCCGATGTGCATGCGCATGTATACTGAATTACAATTTTAATTTACTATGGGTTTGTATACATGTATATTACACCATATGCTGTGTGCATCACATGCACTCCCGATATATAGCTATATAGGGTGGGGGCGTGCGTGTCGTCTGCTAGGAAGTGCGAGTCCGTCTGCAATAATGAACTCCGAAATGCACGAATGCATGCATGCAGCTTGCAAGCTGTCCCGACAGACGACACACACCGCAAGCGCAGGTAAACAACCAAACAAGCGTCGCCGTTACTCATTACATAAAAGCTCGAGTCCCGAACCCGTCCATTGCCGTAAGTTTTGCCACTAAGCGTCGCTGTAAATATAGTCACATACACCCATATAACACACAAACTGTACATACACAATAACTTACCTCTCTTTCTCCCTCTCGACAAAAACTTTAAAAACTGCTGTTTCGCACAAATTACAAATGAAAAAAAAAAAGCTGATGCAGCGTTCCACGCGGGGTTATCGAGTTTAAGCAGAGCTTTTATCCGTGAAATTTTTTTTTACCAACGCGGTGAGCTGCGGTGCTGTCAATAATTGTTCAATTCGAACAAAAACCGCAACAATCGCGCTAAATTAAATGCCGACAAAGAGGGTGTCGTAAATTGATCAAACAAATAAAAAAAAAATCCTAGTTGATTGCAAATTACCGAATCGGCTCGTAAGACAAGCGCGAAAAATGGCTACGGCATCTTGCAAACTTGCAGCAGCACTGCACGGTGGCGTCGTATACGTATATATTTTTCCCTCATCGTTGTGCTGATGCGCGTAGATATACATATTATTGCATATACGTTGTATCTCGAGAGGAGAGAAAAGACAGCGAAAAACGTGGCTGCAGCATCGGCTCGACATCAGCGCGATGCAATCAAGAGGTTAAGTAAGTAATACTACATTCGCGAAAGTTTATTTGTATACATACCAAGGGGGACGCCGCCGATCGACCGAGCTTTCGTATACCACTTGGATTGGATACGTGTATCGCACACTTATTGTCAAATTGACAGATTCGTCAAGTTTTGTCGAGCTTTACGCAATAGCACGCACCATCGTATATCATATTAATAACATAAGCAGCGTCGAGAATTCAGAAGAGCTGTCGATTTTTTCATCTCCTACGTTGTATATACTTATCCATCGCGCACTTTGGCAAAATTTCGCTCGATTCGTCAAATTGTCGCTCTAATTTTTTAAAAGCACTCCGCGGCACCCACTGCAAACGCACATGCAAAACTTACGTGCTTGAGAAGCTGGTGGCAATCGTCCTCGGCAGATTTTTGAAAGACGATCATCGCAAGTCTCAACGGCAGGCATAATACTTTGGAGTCGCTTATTATCACTGAAATGCCCACAAGCACAACATATTAGACAGCGTAGGTATGTAAACTGGCCTCCCCAGCTGATCAGCGCCCTTAGCTGTCTTTCGATTTATCTTCATCGCCAAATTTCTCCCACGGAGTTGTTCGGAGCGATATTTTGATTTTGAATCGCGTCCATAAGCGGCCACTGTTGCCAGCACTTGGTAACTTTATTGATGCGCCAACATTAATTACATCTATGTACAAAATGACACAAATTATAATAATTTTACTATTATCTATATAAAACTGATGCTTGAAAAATTTACATTACATTTGAAAGAAATTATCACACAACAAGATTTGTCGTAGCGATCGAGTCATGTTATTTATCGTGTTAAGGGCACTATTTTCCATTATTTTTCTGTTTCCATCAACAATACAATAACAGTATAACTTATATAATATTAGCTGCTAATAAATTACATTCACACTGTTTACATCCTCTTTAATTGTATGTTGTATGTACTTAATAGGGTAAAAGCTACCGAGCGCTGAAAGCTACGTTATTTATCGGCTGCGATAAAGCAGTACCGAGAAATTAATTTAACTGAATCGAACTACACACACCTACACATTTTAACCTATCCGAGCAGGGAGATGGTACTTTATGCTTTTTATTTTCGTCAACACTTTTTCCTGCCCAAGCGAAAATTTATTTAACAAATAAAAAAAATAAACTATTAAATTATTTTTTTTCATCATAAATGTCAGTCTAAAAACATAGTAGTTGATGGAAAAAACTTTTATTGTTAATTATCATTATGAGATTCTTGACTTTTGGCATTTATCAAAAACTCATCATATGTAACAC